AACCCAACTAAAAGACTTCAACAAAAATATATATGAATAAATCTGATTGCATCGGCAAACAAACCACAAAAGGGAATTAAGCTATCGAAAGACTACCGAGAACTGCATATCAAAGCCGAGCGTCGTGAGAAATTATCCACAAAAGCAAAATCACGCATCTAAATTCAATCTAAATGTCCATAGCATGAAAAATCAACAAGGTTTCAAATAAGCACTATCTTGATCAATCGTGGCATCGTCAAATCCAACCCTGAAAAACATAAAAAAAATAACGAACAAACGACCGATATAAAAAATTGAAAAACGCACCATACAGAACAATTCTTATTAAAAAAAATAAAGAAAAATACACTCTAATATATGATAATCAAAAACGATCGGTAATTAATATCAAACTCATTACTGCCGCCGTCTAAAGAAAATCAAAGAATAACAAGTTGATCTTATCTATGAAAAATCATACAAACTTTAAGACGAAAAAAAAGGAAGAAAGAGACAATCATGCCATTAAAATAATTATTTAATATAAAGGCAATTTTGCCATTAAAATACACTCTGAGCAAAGAATATAAAAGAGTTGTTGGATGGCAATCTATTAAACAACAAATTTCCCCAAAAGATAAGATAGTTTTGATTACAAAACAAATCTCATAATAAGCTCACCACTTATATATTTAAATGGATTTTTGATTAGATATGTTGATCTTTGTGCTTGTTAATCATGATAGGGGATATCTCCTTGTACAATTATAACATGAAGCGATGAGTTGCAACCTTAATCCTTCAAATATTAGTTGAACAGCCTCACCTACTACATCAGTAAAGTATTTAGCTTTATACAAAAAAATGTTTAATTCTATATCCATTTAATCAATTACAAATATTGTAAATAATAAACGATGATGGACTACGGTTGACTAACAATGATGATTGAAATAATTGAAGGATCAAAATGATACTTGAATTAAAATATAATACCTAAAAATAAAACATTTTAAAATCTAATGACAAAATTGCTTTCATTGTTGTTTATTGTACTCTAAAATTTTAAGTTTATTTATTCTTGACATATAATTTAAAAGTCAAGGGGAATAAGACAATACATCATCACACCATTTATAATTAAATGACTCAGTATTATAATTATATTTATAACAAAAAATTAATGTTAAAATTAAAAACTTTAAAATTCAATGATACAATTAATACCGATCTTAAATTTCAATAATATATGAAGTAGTTTATTCTAAATATAAATATATTTAAAATAAAATAAATATTATATTATATTAAAATCTAAAAATATGTTAAGTTAAACTCAATTTTAAATATTAAAATTCAATTATTCGTAAGACATTTAAAGGAACCTAATTTATTTTATTTAACCTCATTTTATGAATCTATTTTCCCATGCTATCTCGTGCATCATACGTGTAAGGACTGTTGTAAAAAAACAAAACTTTACCTACCAACTGACCATCTCCAATACTAGGACACATGAGAAAGGTATTTCAACCCCTTTCACCCCCACCTAGGGATCCACATGGTCGGGTCACGTTGGTTTTCAGTTCACCTGATTTGATTTGAAAATTTTAAATCTTTCATCGACTTGAATTTGACTAAAAAATATATCATTTTTATTCGATCTGATTTTTAAGATAAAATTTGAATTCGACCTGATCTGAAATAATATATTTATTAAAAAATATTTTTATTCAATAAAAATAGAGATTTAATTAAAAGAAAATAATATATAGAGAGATATTATTACAATTAACCCTAAATATATAAGGTAAAATTATAACTTTTTTGAGTAGGATTGAGTATTTTTCACCCAAACCTAACCCCGATTCCACCCAAACATAACTTAAAAATACCCCGACCCAACCCAACTCGAACTGATTTTTTTTTTTAAATCTGACATGATCGAGTTTGATCGGATTGAAACTCGTCTGATTCGGGTCTCATGCCACCCCCACCCTCACCCTCATCCTCTTCTTTTTCGCCGATAAAAGATATTTTTTATAGCAAAAAGACATAAGAGCCCATGTACTCTAAAAACATTAATATGGTCATCGTATTTTTTCACCTAGTATGGTCCTCCAATTAAAAACAAATCCAATATCTCATTGATCAACATTTTTGTCATTGATATTATGATGCTAATATGATAGTTCACAATGCTGACTTGACGATCTACGGTGTTAACGTGAGAGTTTACGATAACTGATGACATGACGAATGACATGTCACATGGGCAAATTGATTTTTTTAGTTTTGTTCGAGAGTCAAATTGATTTTTTTAAAAGTATAAAGAATTATTTAATTTTTTTAAAAAATAAAAAATATTTTAAAATTTGAATATAAAATTATTCAAATATTCAAAATATTAAACATTAAAATATTTAAAAAATAATTACGATAAATTGAATATACATATTAAAAATATTAAAATTATCAATTTTTTGATATTAAAATACTAAATCTATTATCAATTTTTTTTAAAAAATTGAATATAAGAGTATATAATATGTTATAAAATAATTATTTATAAATTATAAAAGTTAAAAAATATATTTTAAAATGATATATTATACATAATATACATGTAAAGTATAGACATACCATCAATACTTATACAAAATATTCTTATTATATTAATCGAGATGTACAAAATTTAAATTAGTAGAGAATTATAATTTTTGGATTAGTCGTAACTTTTTGCTCTTGTTTTCTAATTATATTTTTGTATGCCTCGATTAATTTAAAAGATATTAGTCAGTCCAATTCAACCCAAAAAATGTATATCATTCATTTTAATTTGATTCGATATAAAAATAGATATCTTTCATCCAATTCGATTTGATTCAAGGAGTATATTTTCTTTATTTGAATCGGATTCAATATAAATTTTTAAAGTATAAATTTGATCTAATAAAGACTTAAAAACAGTAGAAAGAGAGATATTATAACAATTATCCATAATTTTATATGAAAAAATTACATTAATATTCTCGGATCGAGTCGAAGAATTTTCACCTAAAATTCAAACTCAATCTAATCTCACCCCTATATGAAAGTATTTTTTAAGTAATTGTTTGACCTCAGAAATTTGATTGTTTATTTACAAAAACAATAAAATAATCTAAAAAGTAAAGAGAAGAAAAAAATGCAAACAAAGGGATTGGGTCCGTGTAAAATACACCCAATTCCGATTCATCCCCCAAATTCCGAATTTCAGACTTTGATTGGGAGAATACATTTGCTAGTCCATTAAAGTCTGTCTATCACACTCTCGTCTTCTACCTTATTTCATCTCCTCTTGTTTTCAAACTCCCGTTCTCCTTTGCCTTCAACCCATACCTCCACTCCTCTACTTTGCCCCTGTCTTCAACGCCGCACTCCCAGCAGCGATTTTAGGGTATGTTGACTTTTTTCCAGTTTCCGCTTTTCGCTTATCTTTTTTAAGTATTTTTTTTTAAATTTTGTATCCAATTTAGGTGCAAATATTAGTAATTTTGATTTGGGTAGGTAAATGGAGCTCCTAACTCTAGTTTAAGGCACATCTGCGAAGCAATCTTCAAACTTGGTTGGATATTGTATAGACTCTGGCATGTTTCGTTGTCTGGGATTTTTTCTTCTTCATTAGTATTTTGTTTGATCCTTTATTGACTTGATATGTATTACATCAATGTTTTAGGTACTATCGTTTTGAAATCATGCAATCAAAGGTTTCTATAGTCTCCGTTCCGGGTTATCTTTACAATGCTTTATGGTAAACGCAGTTTGAGCGGACACCAGAGTTAAAAGCATAGTGTATGCAGTGTGAACCTTAGTATCTCCTTAAGATAATGGATTCTAGCATTGGCGCCAGCGATGCAATCTTACCTCCACACCCGGATATGGAATTTGAATCACATGAAGCTGCTTATTCATATTACAAAGAATATGCCAAGTCTGTGGGTTTTGGCACTGCTAAATTGAGCAGTCGTAGGTCTAGGGTGTCCAAGGAATTTATTGATGCTAAATTTACATGCATAAGATATGGAAATAAGCAACAGTCTGATGATGCCATTAACCCTCGGCCTTCCCCGAAAATTGGTTGTAAAGCAAGCATGCATGTGAAGAGAAGGCAGGATGGAAAGTGGTATGTTTATAGTTCATAAAAGAGCATAATCATGAACTTTTGCCGGCCCAAGCACATTTTTTTCGGAGCCATAGAAATGCTGATCCACTTAAAACTGATGTTGGAAGGACGCGGAAAAATCTGGCTGCAGTTTCTAAACTATTTAGTGCCTATCAAAACATTGACTTTCTGGAAGGTTATATGAGAAACCAGCATGACAAGGGACGCAGTTTGGTTTTAGAAGAGGGAGATGCTCAATTACTCCTTGAACTTTTAATGCAGATGCAGGAAGAAAACCCAAAATTTTTCTATGCAGTTGATTTGAATGAAGAGCATCGATTGAGAATGTATTTTGGGTTGATGCCAAAGGCATGGAAGATTTCACTAACTTTGGCGATGTTGTGTCATTTGACACTACATATTTCACAAATAAGTATAAAATACCTTTGGTACTCTTTATTGGAGTCAACCATCACATTCAACCCACATTACTTGGCTGCGCTTTGATTGCAGATGAACAGTGTATTCTTTCTTTGGCTGATGCAAACATGGTTTATAGCAATGGGGGAAAGGGCTCCTCAAGTGATGCTTACTGATCAAAACAATGCCATAAAAGCAGCTGTGGCTGCTGTGTTTCCTAGTACACGCCATTGTTTCTGTTTATGGCATGTCTTGGAGAAACTTACCAGGCATCTTGAATATCTAAGCCTATGGCATGATAGTCTAATGCTAAAACTTGATAAATGTATTTATCGGTCTTGGACTGAGGAGCAATTCGAAAAAAGGTGGTGGAAGATGGTAGACAAGTTTCATCTTAGAGAGATGCAGGGGGTTCAATCTTGTATGAAGATCGAAAGCAGTGGGTTCCTGTCTTATGAGGGATGTATATTTTGCTGGATTATCTACACCTTTACGCTCAGAGAGTTTGAGTTCTTCATTTGACAAATATGTGCATGGAGAAACTTCTTTGAGGGAATTTATAGAGCAGTATAGAGTAATTCTTGAGGACAGACATGAAGAGGAAGCCAAAGCTGATTTTAATGCATGGCATGAGACTCCAGAGCTGAAGTCTCCTTCACCTTTTGAAAAACAAATATCACTCGTATACACACATGAAGTCTTCCAGAAATTCCAAGATGAGGTTTTAGGGGCTGCTGCTTGTCATCTTAAAAAGGAAAACGAACCTGCAACATATAGTGTTAAGGACTTTGAAGATAATAAAAATTATATGGTTGAATGGAATGAATCTAAATCAGATATATATTGCTCATGCCGATCTTTTGAATACAAGGGCTACCTCTGTAGACATGCCATTGTTGTGCTCCAGATGTCTGGTGTGTTCAACATCCCATCAAAATATATCTTGCAACGGTGGACAAATGCTGCCTTGAGCAGACGTCCAATAAGTCAGAAATTGGATGAGGTCAAATCTAAGGTGCGCCGGTACAATGATTTGTGTAGACGTGCCATAATATTAAGTGAAGAAGGTTCCCTTTCTCAAGAGAGCTATAATCTTGCTCAATCTGCGTTAAAAGAAGCTCGGAAGCAATGTGTAAGTGTCAATAATTCAGTTGGGAATGAGGACCAACCTAACACCTTAGTGATTCATGCTGATTCTGGTGTTGGAAGAGTCAGCCAATGTGTTAATGCTATCTAGAAAAACTCTAGATCCTAAAATGACAAATACAACCAAGACTTATCATAGTGTTGAGACTGCGTTAGAGAGGCAAACTAGTGAGAGTAATGCAACTAGAAAAGGAAAGGTTAGTCTGCAGTTGTCTAATTGTCTTACGTGAATGATTTCATATTAGAAATTTTGATTTATTAAGGGAAAGGAAAAGAGAAAAGTAGATCACCAAAATTGTTTCTCTAAACAGCAGGTATCTACTGCAGGAGCTGCCAATGTTGGGTCTCAAGATGGCTTTCACCAAATGGTTTGTTGTAATTTCATCTGTTCCACATTCTCTCGTTTCTGTACTGATAATATGGTTTTATTTTCATGTATTCTGATGGCATGAACTGCTGCTACATGTGTTATAGAAGATTTCAAGCCGATATGTTTGATAATTTGCTGGAAATTATTTGTAATGCTCGTAGTAGTTTGTTCTCAATTGATACCTTTGAAGAGTGTAGTATCTAAACCATAGCATATGGAAGAAATTGTGTCTAATTGTGTGCATAATATGCTAATATAAGGATCAAATAAGAACCTGGATCAGCTTCACATATGATTCTTAGGGTGAGTTTCGTCCTTAAATTTCTGCGAAAAGGGAAGGAGTTTTGCTCTGTAAACTTGTAAAGACAGATGCGACTTAGGCTGCCCATACGTTGCTTGTGGTTATAAGATCTTCCAATTTGGTGGGACTATTACTAGTTATACTCGGGCTGAGTTTTAAGATTTCTTATATCTTTATTTTCATTAGAGATTTTCAGATTTGGTAGTCACCCAACTTAACGTAGGTTGTTAGTATATGTTACTTTTATTTGGTTTTGCAAAGTCAGTGTATGGGTCCTAAATCCGTGTTGGCCTAAGAACAATGTTATTTTTAGCTACATGCAGTTTTGTAATCTTCAATCTTTGTATGCTTGTTGGCTGTTGCAGGAGCTGTCAGACATGAGGCTGACTCCTATGCATAATAATGTGATGCCACCAAAGCAATTGCATGATATGGTGCCAACCATGTTCGCAAATGTTGCATCGACACATTTTCAAAACGCGGCTGCTGCACGTTTGCATGACAACCGACTCCATCGATGAGTCTACCTTCATTTTGTAAAGATCATGTAAAGCTAATATAGGGTTGCGGGAAGATCAGTTATTTTAACATAGTTTGTGATGAACCGATTGCATACAGATTTTGGTATGAGGAACATCTTATTGGATCATGCACATGAGTTGTTTATATTTATGATATGCCTTGGGGGACATTGAAATCTACACAATCGTTTGTTCCACATGACTTGATCTGTTACATGGCACACACTCATTTTTAACATAGTTTGTGATGAACCGATTGCATACAGATTGGTTATGAGGAACATCTTATTGGATCATGCACATGTTGTTTATATTTATGATATGCCTTGGGGGACATTGAAATCTACACAATCGTTTGTTCCACATGACTTGATCTGTTACATGGCACACACTCATTTTCCTTGGCATTGAGTGATTGGGTGGTTAAAGGATCCAGATGAATGGAAGAGAGCTGTCGAACGGTCCCCACTGGGCTTTTAGAGTTTTCTCGACAATCGATCCCGACTTAATATTGGACATGTCGGTTTTAAAACAGACAAATTTAGAGTCATCATCGACTTTTGAGTTAGGTAAGTCGAATATCTAAAAATATATTTTAAAATAATTTTAAGAAAATAATTTTAAAAGAAAAAATGTGATATGCGTTTAACCAAAGATTCACTTTAAAAATGGTTCGAGAGTCGGTTACGTGCAGGGAAGGATTAATACTCTCACAACGCCCAAAATTAGTACTTATACGATTATACATCATCTTAATATTAAAGTTGGCATATTCAAATAATATTTAAATCATGACATTTTTTTAGAAAATAAAATGAGATTATTTTACTAAATAATTCTTAGAAACACACTTTTGTCAGTAAGGCGTGATCTATAATTTACTCGTATAATATATTTATTATAGTAATATATATATAAAATGATTACAATAACAAATAATAACTATAGTGATTAAATTATGAAAATAAAAAGTTCAAGGTAACATTTGCAAATAATAATATTTTAAGTACTATAATTATAAATAAACCAATAATATCCAGAATTACAAAAATTAAAATTCTAGATTAAAATGCAAAACATAGAAAGTAATGGCCATAAACAGAAACATCAAGAAATCGAGGTACTGGAAATATTTTTATTAAATTTAAAATTAATAATATACCATTTATATTTGAATAAATATTATTATAAATATATTATAAATGATATTTTATTATTATACCAACGATAATAAGTTAGTTTTAATTATAAAAAAATTGATATTTTTATATTGTAAAAATAAATTATTTTTTATATTAAATTTAAATAATTGTAATTTTTTCAAATACCAAGGAATTAAAATACTTAAATTATTTAATAATTTTAAAAAGTTATTTAGTAGTTCCAAATTAAAAAATAAAATTTAATAATTTAATTTGATTTAAATAAATTGAAAATTAATTTAATAATTTTGAATCATTAGGTAAAAATCCAAATGAATATTGAATTAATATATTATTATTTAGATGATTAAAGATTTATAGTACTAACAAGACGACTATTAAAATTATAGTCATTGATTAAATATATATTCTCTTCATAAAATCACTAAATATATATTCAAAATATAATATTAAAAAAAACCCAAAGCATTTACCTTTTTATAACTACAGCGGCCAGCATTTAGTGTTGTGGGCACGTGGCGTTTTCAAGGTTCCAAAACCCTAGGTGTCTGAGTACCTATAATAACAATACAGTTGACGCATTAATCTCCACATGCTGGCCCGACTGTTCAACCATTTCACTATCCGAGCCGAGCTGTCCAAAAATATTTGGCAACACAGTTAATGACGTTCCCTCAAGTATATGCAACCATTCCGTCTTAGCTGAAACCAAGGTCAATGCATCATCTTTGGATGAATGTTCACATAAATCCGATAAACAAATTCAAGCACTCATAAGCTTGGGGTAAGTTGATTGTGAACAGATTTTTCTGGAAGAGTCGTGATCTTAACTGGTTTCCCAAGTTTCGATTTATCTTCCATTCTTGCAATCTCAATAGCCTTTGCACAAACAGGGAAGCCTTGATCATCCCAGGACTCTAAATTACACCAGAACCAAGCAGGTTTGTCCCTCGTAGAAGGCTGCAAACTGCCCGATGGGCAAGACCTTGATCATCTTCAGATAAGTGAACAACTGCAATGTCTTCCTCGCCATCTTCACCATGCACCATTTCATAGCTGCAGTTATAAAAGAAGGACCATGCCTGACCTGGAAAGTTCAGACTAGTTAGCTACAAGCGATAAGACCAACCATTAGACTGCAGTAGAATTATTTCTGCAATTAAGTCATTTCAAAAGACTGACACCGAATACTTGGGGAAGGATTGTTTTACCTTGCATTGGAGCGACCAACATGGTTTGGAGGTGACCCACTAAACCACATCAAAGACCCACACGAAACACTCGCCTTCTTTTGTCCAATGAGAAATAATTTCTTGATACAAATACAACATTATTTTTAACATCCTTCTGAACAACATACCTGAGAAAAAAATTACATTTGGTTGGAAACAAGAGCAGAAGGTTGGGAAAAATTGAATTTTCCAACTGCTTAGGTCCTAAATATCTGAAAGAACATGACAATGTCTTTCACAACTTGTCAAAGAACAAGTCAATAGGTGGAGGTTTTCCTGGAGTCCTCAACTCAAGGTGAGCACCATTACCTAAGCCCAACGTATTTATGTTCGATTTCCAACTTTAAAATTATATCAAAGCAGTCCTAGCCCCTGGACCATGATCCTATCATATGATACAACCTCAAGACAAAGCTAAGGTTGCATATTTACTTAGCAGAAAAGTCTTTGTTTCTGCCAACTGGTGTTGGGATGCCTAATCAATTTGATTTATAGGAATAAATGGAGAATAACGTTAGCAAACTGGATCAACCATCAACATAAGCATCTTTAAGATGTATGCAATCCATACTATATGCAAATTATCAGACAAGCTTGGTTTAAAAGAATCGTTCCTTCAAATTACAAAGTGAGAACAAAGGGGGAGGAACTGTAGAGTATTGGATACTAAAGCAATTCTTCCGTAAAATTGAAGAACTTTCGTCACCCAGGATAAAATGATGATGACCAGACTGATATGAATAGTCAATAGGTATAGAGCATACCAAGGTCCTCCAGGGAGACGTAGGCCTTGGCGTTGACCAATTGTGTAGAACCAGAACCCCCTGTTCCCAAGGAAGTCTCCTGTCTCAGCTTCTAATATGATACCTTCCATCAAATCACTAAATCTTATCTGTAACAGACCACCATATAAAATCAGCAAAAAGTTTCATACATTACTACAAACTGTTGGTCAGTGCCAGTTATGTGCATAAAAGACTACTAGAAGATTTTCTAAATTTCCTCAATTACCTCACCTAAAGCATTTCCTTCTTGAATTATCAAAGAGAAAAAGATGCACACTAAATAACATGGGCAGAACTTGAGGGGCAAGATGTGTTAACTTTCCTATAAAGTACCAAATCATCATAAAAGGGTCTAAATAACTTCAATTATATATTTCAATGAAAGATTTTAAAATGCATGGAAATGTGGTTTGAAATAGATGCTAATATGATATAACATATACCTTCCCAAGAAAGCAAATTCCTTGTGAATCCTTCCTATCTTTATTGGGCAAGTCAAACTTAGCAGCAAGTGGCGAACTTCATCCTGTAGATGATGTGAAGGAAAATAACTAAAAAAGCACAACAGACTGGCTAAGCATAACAATACCAGAAAAACTTGGAAGGAAACACATTTGTTTCAGAGAAGGCCATAAAATCAGACAACTAATGAGTTCAGTAAAGACAATCAAACATCCACAGTATTAAAAGATAGAGCTTTGAAAAAACCTGCAGATGAACAGGACAACATCAAGGCAAGAGAATCTAGGATTTAAAAAAAACTGTTTGTTACATGAACTGATTAATACAATGAATCTACGTGTTTATACAATAGCCATCCTGCTTTCCTTTCTAATAACAGCAATTTGAGATAATTTGAAATACACCAATCAAATAAAATAAATAATCATAACAAACAATGACGACAAGTAGATCCACCTTAAGTGACAAACAGAGGATATAGTGAAGATAGCATCCCAATTGACCAAATTGCAACAATCTAGGGCTACTCACCTTGAGAGACATCCAAGTGGAAAATAAGTCGTTTGAGCTGGAACTGAGAGAGGTGTGAAAGGAAGTATGTTTGATCCTGACCTGCACATTAACATACACAGAACAAATTGTTGTACTGAACCTATATATAACAGGATATAGAAAAAAGACCTCTATCTTACAAGATTCAAAGCAAACTCATGATCTTGAATAAACACACAATGATTGGTATGTAATAACCAAACTCTAATTCCAGTAATCATTTTTTCAAGTATTGTTTTCATACTATATTTATGTAACAAAGAATTGACTAATAGTTTCCATTAAGAAATGCAAAGTTCTGATTATAGGTCCAAAACATGAAATACAACACTGGAAGAAATAGGAGTAAACATGTTTACGATGTAATTTTCCAGAAAATGCTTAGGAATTGTTTCCAGGTTTTCCATATCAAAGCAAATTCAACATCACGCACAACCCTTCTGATCATATGACAGCCTGATACTTCCCCAATAAGCAAAGAAGAAAATTTCGAGAAAAGTTAACAAAGACACTTTCAAGATAGCCATAAGAATTGACAAGAATTATTGCACAAGTACCATGTCCTTTGACAGTTCTAAGATAGAAGCGTTATTGCTTTGATCAGCAGATGGGTGAACAACATTCGCATAATGCCCAGATGCAATATAGTCATAATCCAAACTGTAGATGGCGTCCATGAATGCACCTGGAAGTCACTATAAACATAAATGCAAAATGAACATAGCATGTATATAACTCACTACTAGTTTACCAAACCTAAAAAGAATAAAAAGAGCCAAAAGCCTTCAACATAGATTAATGGCTTAACTTCAGCTAGGTTTCATACCAAATTTTATTCTTGTATTGCAAAGAACATCAGGATTTGGAGTGCGGCCATCGGTACTCCGCAATGATGTAGGAAAACCTGAGAGAGAAGTAACTTTCATGATCAATGGAGACAATCAATAAATTACTAAATTAAGTATTCTTGTAAAGGAAATCCAATTCCAAACATTCCAATAGTTAACTAGAGAGGAGGAAGTCTATAAAGACCAATGAACAAAAAACTAGATCAGACTGGATGGTTCAACATGGAACTGGCGAAGCATTCCATTAAGATACATATATCATGCTGATTATGTAAAAGCCACTTAAAGCTGAAAAATACCAAGAACCAAAGGGGGGTTAAAAACAATAGAACCAGATAATGATTCAATTTACTCTATTTGTCAAGCTTTTTCAAGAAAAATTAAAATGGACTCATAAAACTGAATCATAGTACGTTAAAGATCAACCTAATCCAGTCCCAAAATTATTAGTCAAGTTTTTTTCAATCCAACTAAAATTAACTCTTAAAAATTGATCAAATATGTTAAAGATCGACGAATCCAATCCCAAAATCACTAAAAATATTTTTTCAAAGCTTAGGGCACCTTCTCCAGTTTCTGTCTCTCTTCTGGTTTTCTAGAAGCTTCCAGCTTGTTGCTGTGCCCTGCATCATGTTCTCCCTACTCTTCATTTGGTGCTATAGATATTTATTCCTTTATCATGCATCTTAGATTTCACATTCTTAAAGCTAGTTGATTTCATGTTTCTATTCACTCACATGGTTTGATGGGTCTTTCTGCGATAAGAGGTCTACTTCTGTTGTTCTGGCTTTGTGGACTAATTACCTAAACTTTATGTGTATATTGAATTGTGGCAATAATATTAAGTTCTATATGTTCAAAATTTTACTGATTTTTCTTATAGTTTCCTTTTAATTTTTTCACGGATTTTTTTTAAAAGTTAAAGTTGGGTGTTGTTAGTACGCTGAAAGGTAAGGAGCAGTCTTGTCCCCAAGAAGGCAGACCAATTTCTTACCTCAGTAAGGCTTTGGGACCAAAGCAAATTGATTTGTCTATCTAGAAGGAGTATATAGCATATTAATGGCTATTTCTAAATGGAGACATTATCTTGAAGGGAGTCCATTTGTTATTAAAACAGATCATGAATCTTTGAAACATTTGTTAGAACAGAAGATTAGACTACTATTCAGAAGAAAGGTCTAACAAAATTGTTAGGATTGGATTACCAATTCAGTTTCGCAGGGGCAAACATAACAAAGCTGCTGATGCTTTATCTAGACAGTTTGAAGACAAAAAAGAATTAAATCAGTTATCTGCTACAATTGTTATTCCTGCTTGGGTTCAAGAGGTGGAAAACGTATGAGCAGGATTCTTTGCAAAGGATTTCATTCCTAAGTTGCTGCTTGATAATAATTCTATAGCAGACTGGTCCTATGCTAAGGGTGTTCTGAGATACAAAGGTAAAGTTTATGTTGTGAACAGGTGGTCTAAGACAGCAGATTCTTCTATACTTCATGATTCACCACAAGGTGGCCATTCTGGGATACATGCTACTATTACAGGCTGAGTTGTATTTTTATTGGAAAGGAATGAAGGCACTGGTTAAACAGTATGTGCAACAATGTGATGTTTGTCAGAGAATAAAAAATGAACATGTTTTACAGCCTGGATTATTACAGCCTTTACCTATTCCACAGCATGCTTGGGATTCATTACTATGGACTTTATTGACGGGCTGCCTACTTCTAATATTCAATTCTATTTGGTGATAATTGATAAATTCACCAATATGGGCATTTTTTACCTCTGGTTCATCCTTTACAGCTTCTGAGGTTGCTAAAATCTACATGGACCAGGTTTACAAACTTCATGGTCAGCCTAAAATTGCTCTTTGATAGGGATAGAATTTTACTAGTGCTTTTTGGAAGGAATTATTAAAGTTATTGGGCACACATTGTTTACTACTCCTCCTCAAACAGATGGTCAACTGAGAGGCTTAACCAATGTCTTGAATAGTACTTAAGGGGATTGTGTTTTCTAAAACCAAGTTCCTGGGCTAAATGGTTATCCCACGCAGAATGGTGGTATAACACTAGTTTTCATACAGCATTGGGTACAACACCTTTTCATGCCCTATATGGCTATACACCTCCACAATGACTTGTTCAAGCGAGACAAGGGTGGCTGATGTACACATTTATGCGGAGAGGGATAATATCAATAGTATCCTTTTGGAACAACTCACTAAAGCATCATCGCATGAATATTATGCAGATAGAAATCGCAGCGACAGGGAATTTAAGGAAGGGGAGGAAGTTTACCTTAAGCTTCAGCCTTACAAGCAGACTTCCTTAGCTCTACGCAAAAATTTGAAACTATCTGCTCGATACTATGGTCCCTACAAGATACAGAAACGAATTGGTTCAGTCGCATACCAATTAGAATTACCAGTTCATTCTAAACTTCATCCGGTATTTCACATTAGCCTTTTGAAAAGAAAAATGGGGGATAAAAGTGTTGCTTCACGAGACCCACCTGAACTTACTACGAATGGACAACTTCGGGTTTATCCTACAATTGTTGGATAAACGAGTCATTAAAAGAAACAACAGGCAGTGACTCAATTGTTGATTCAGTGGTCGAATTTAGGGATTGAGAATGCTACCTGGGAGGATTTTACGGTGCTACGATCCCAATTTCCTGATTTTGATCCTTGGGGACAAGCATCCATTGCAGCTGGGGGTATTGTCACGAGCCAGGAGGCAAGACGGGAGAATGATGAGAAGAAACGAGGAAACAAATTACAGGCTGATGAGGAGAAAGGGGGAAACACGGGAAAATTAGGGATTATGTTTGGGAAATTAAATGAGGAGTTTAAGGATGGGGTTGAGATGTTACCTGATGAAGAGGGCCATGCGTGGACTGTTGAAGCAAGAGACCAAGGCTTATTGGACCAGGAGATGACGAGCCCAATACCTACAACCAACAAAAGACAATAGAAACGGTTAATATAAGTTGTTAGAGAAATGTTACAGCTGGCAATCTGTTAGTAAATAATTCCTATAAAATTCAGTTGTAATGAGATGGATATTATGAATGAAATGATGATGAATTCTGTTTTCCTTACTCTATTCTCTCTATCTTCTTAAATCCTTTCTTATTTTGTTCATACAACTAAACCCCAAACCAAATATTACTAATAACCCATTAACCCCAAAATCGATTAAGGCCCAGAAAGCCCACGATGCTTAAGGTTTGAAAAATCCTAGTTTCTTAAGCTCTTAGCCGCCGTCTTATGATTTTTCAGATGCCGGATGTGGTCTTAAGTCACGATGGCCTCCCTGCCACGTGAGAGTCGCCCTTCCCAGTGGTCCCAAGTTTTGTCAAGTTATGTATCATCCAAACCAATGCGGTGGTCTTCCTTGCAGCAGTGGTCCTCCCAACAGCAACGGTTACGAAACCAGCAACCCTTCGTGTGAGCCTCATTCAACACCAAATCAATACATGCAATCAAGAAAAGACGAGAGATTTGAAGAATGAAGGCCTTTCTTTTTTTGTATTTACAAAAGTAGGCTTGTAAATGGATTATAAAAAACCCAAAATTTTTTATAAGAAGGATCCTTTTTTTTGGTTTTACACAAAGCAATATCAAGAAAGGGTCCTCCACTTTTCTTTTCTTTTTTTTTTTTAAATGGGTAAGGTAATAAAGATTACAACTTAAGAAGTATCTCCAATGACTCCATTGGCACCATGTTGGAGGACGCCATGAAGGAAGGTCGGTGCAGGACCGAAAAAGCAGCAATCAGTGTTTTGACAAAGAGAGAACTTGGCAAGACAATCAGCCGCTGAATTGGCTTCGCAGTGGATGAGCTTGAAGTTCACAGACCTTGCACGTTCTTGGAGTGAGACGATAGCGTGGCTAGAGCAGAAGAGCTAGAGCGGGCGTTGGCTGAAGAGATCATGGTAAGACATCACTATTATCAATCATGGTAAGACATCACTATTATCAATCTGGCATTAAACTTTTTCAAAACATTAAGACCATTCGAACTTGAGACCATCAAAGAGACCCCATAATTATACTTGTGTGACAGAAGTACCTTCGAGGGATTTGGAATAACCTCCAAACCAATTCCCATTATCGTCACGAATGAGACCTGCAGTAGAACCAAGGGAAAATGTAGAAGAAACAACTCCATCTGAGTTGAGAGCAACCCATCCCGTGGGGGGCTTGTGCCAATGGGAGATACGAGGTTCAAGAGGAGGAGAAGCATCCGCAGAGGCAGTTGGGTTCTCGAAAAGCTTAGCCCAAAGGAGACTCGGGTGGAAAAGATGTCGCGGGAAGTACTATCACCTGTAAAATGAAAGTGTTTCTCCTTTTCCAAAGCTGCCAAGCTAAGGATGAAAATAATTTATTCCTATTGAATTTTGTTGATTCATAACAACTTTGATTTGGTCTTTAGTAGTTAGCGTGGTTTTACTCCTTAATTTATGAGTCAAAATAAGTTATGATGTTGATAATATCTTTGATTAGTTGAGTTTTTTTCTTCTTTTAAGCAGTACTTTGTAAGCCTATATAAATAGGCATATTACTCTTGAATAAAGGGAGCATTTCCTTTCTAAAGTCATATTTTCTGTCATATTTACTTATTTCGTTGCTTTGTCTCCAACATTTGTGGTGTCTAGAGCTAGGTTTTTTTAGTGATATGATGATTGCAAATATTAGTTCAATGAGTATCTCCCAACCTGTTATTCCTATTTTCAAAGGAGAGTGTTACGAGTTCTGGAGTATCAAAATGAAAACTCTATTCAAATCTCAAGATCTTTGGGATTTGATAGAGAATGGATTTGTTGATTCAGATGAGGACACAATCGAAAGAAGGATTCAAAGGCTCTGTTTTTTATTCAACAAGCTGTTCATGAGACTATTTTTTCCGAGAATCGCTAGAGCTACTACTTCCAAACAGGCTTGGACAATATTGCAGAATGAGTTTCAAGGCTCAACCAAAGTAATGGTGGTGAAACTTCAAGTTTTAAGGCATCAATTTG